CGAAGAGGTCGGGCGGGGGGGTAGGGCTTGACCGTGGCCTCGAGATAGGAAGGAGCTGTTCCTTTCACTGCCCTGTAGGCTAGCACCAGAGTCTTACACTGGATGCAAGCTCTTACGGGGAGCCATCACAATACCGTGGTCACGATACGATATTATCACGATACTATCACGATACGATATTATCACGATACTTATGTCACGATACGATATTATCACGATACAATATTATCACGATACTATATTATCACGATACTATATTATCACGATACGATACTATCACGATACAATATCACGCTACGATATTATCACGATACGATACCGTCACGATACGATACTGTCACAATACAATATTATCCCTATACTTAAGTCACGATACGATATCATGAAACTTAAGTCATGGTGCGATATTATCACGATACGATATTATCACGATACGATATCACGATACGATACTTAGGTCACGATACTTAGGTCACACTCTACACAATCGATATTGTAGCTTCTTCAAGTTATATGGTAATGAAACCGTTAATATAACCGCGATACTATACTGCATAGATTTTTCCTTTTCCTCCCTTGCGTGGATACGGTCGACTCATCCTTCGTCCTCCCACCTACCGTAGCTTCTCCTGCTCCCTCCTGATCTGCTCAGCCTGAGCTTTCAGCTGCCTCTCCCTTTCTTCCTTCTCCCTGGCGGCCCGTTTGAACTGTTCGAAGCTGTCGCTGGAGGAGCGAACGGAGGAGGCCGGCGTGGACTGGGACCTCTGAGCCAGACTGGCCCAGGAACCCATGTTCTTTATCTTCACATCCTGGGAGAAGACGGAGAGAGTTGGATGGAAGAGGACAATAAAAACAATGCGGCTTTAATGTGATCATCTCACACTTGTATACACACACCTGTGTCTTCTTTGGAGCGATGGGAGTTTTGGGCTCTTGCTTAATTTTGAGGCCTTGCTGGGAACACAGTGGTGCCGGGGAGTCTGGGAGGCGGTGACCCGGACGAGAGCCGTCCAACAGCTTCGGGTCTGATCCTGAGGGGGACATGACATGAGGATTAACTATGAATATACGGTGTATACACACACACACACACACACACACAGTATGTACCTTAAAGGGCCGGTGTGTGTGTACTTCTAATTGAACGTTGGCGTCTTTAGCTCTGCGCGCGATGCGTCACAGCACAGATAAATAAAAACAGTGGTGGACTCACTGTGTTTCTGTGCGTCTTGGCTGAAGGGTGGCAGAACTGGAGACTGGGAAGGTTTCTCTTCTTTGACTGTAACAAGGTGCGGCCTCTGGTCCTACAGGAGCAGACACACGCAGCAAGAATAGTAATAAAACTACCACAGTTACCATTATCATCAGTTTCAGGGAAGCTCTTATAGATCTCATTGTAAGCTAAAAAGGTAAAAAGGAGACTTGTTCTCTAATTTTTCGAGAAAACCAACAAGTGAAATATTGGTTCCAAGTGTTTTCCAGGAGGCGGGGCTCACTCACATGTTTCTTGGTCTGAGAGGGTGAACCCATCGAGTGGACCTGAGACATCTGAGGAGAGTGAATCATCAGGGGAGACGGACTCTCACGCAGGCCACCTGGAAAAAACATTCCTCTATTTAATTCAATGTGACATCTACAATATCTTCATGTCAGGTGGTCAGAGACACAACCCGTCACAATAAGTGTGGTGCTTTTATTTTGAAGTATCTTCTCGTTAGCATTGATTGATTTGACTTCTTCTGTTGTGTTTCTTCTGCTATTATTATGTCAACATTATGTTTATTGTTTTCTTCTATTTCTTTTGTATTGAACTGCTTTGCATCCTGTGTTTTCCTTTGGTCAAGTGTGGTTGTTTCTAAATGTGCTTTTCAAATAGCACTTGACTTGAATTGAAATGCTTTCAATGTTGGTTTGATTTTTAAGTTGTTGATTATTTCACTGAGTCTTAACCTCCAACAGCAGTGACTGATTCAGAACATTTGTTCCGACGTTTACTTCAAATAAGAGTCAGAAAGAAAAGAAACATTTGTGTAAATATGTTTTTGTTGTTCCTTTGATCGTCTTGGGGTCGTTTCAGGATCTTCTCTCACTCAAACTAAATAAAGAACTTCTCTGTATCTAGTCTGGAGCATTCTGCTCCTCTGCCTCGACTGTTTTTGAAAGGACAGCGAGGATTGTGATTGGATAAGAGAAGTGTTTTGTTCCTCTGTAGCAGAATGACGACGAGGAGTGGAGCCTGAGAGACAAGACTTTAACTGATAAGTTTTACTTTCCCAGAAGAAAAACAGCTTATTTTAGACCTGCAGGTGTTTGAAAAAGAAAGCTTTTATGTCTTCTTCACTCATGATGAAGAAAATGTGACAAACAGACACATAAACAACCCCAAACGAGACGCATAAACAACCGCAAAGCGACGCATAAACAACCGCAAAGCGACGCATAAACAACCCCAAAGCGACGCATAAACAACCCCAAAGCGACGCATAAACAACCCCAAAGCGACGCATAAACAACCCCAAAGCGACGCATAAACAACCGCAAAGCGACGCATAAACAACCGCAAAGCGACGCATAAACAACCGCAAAGCGACGCATAAACAACCGCAAAGCGACGCATAAAGCGACGCATAAACAACCGCAAAGCGACGCATAAACAACCGCAAAGCGACGCATAAACAACCGCAAAGCGACGCATAAACAACCGCAAAGAGACGCATAAACAACCCCAAAGAGACGCATAAACAACCCCAAAGAGACGCATAAACAACCCCAAAGAGACGCATAAACAACCCCAAAGAGACGCATAAACAACTGCAAACAATCACATAATGACATACGACTATAAATGGATGCAAACAAACCAAACTTGTGTCTCCTTGAATCTGTGGCTCATGTTCTTACGTAGGAGCTAGGAGGTTGAGGGCCCTTTACATGTCTGTCAATGTGTGTGGATGTCTATGTGACATAAAACCATCATGTGGAACATGTGTTTAAAGTCTGACACATGAAACCGACCGGCCAGTCGCGGTGGATCAGCAGACACCGGTGGCTGTTGGACGGGTGCATCCCTATCAAGTATAGAAACGTGTTACCTGTTGAGAAAGGCTCTGCTTTGCTGCGAGGCGACGGCTGCTGCAGTTGTTGCTGCATCTGTTGAACCTTCTGCTGCAGGGCCACTCCCTTCTGCTGCTGCGACGGCGCCGTCTGAGGAAACGGGTGGCGCACGTGGGCGTGGCCTAAGCCGTGTCTCTGTGTCAGGGCAGGGCCAGATGTGGTCGCGGCCAAGGTGTGCATTGTCGACATCAGCTGAGGGGCGCCCTGCGCAGGCAGGTGTGTGTGCACGTGTGGCGGCTGCAGCTGCGCGGTGGACCGAGCCTGCAGCGACTGCAAGAAGGTGTGAACTTGACTGAGGGGCGGGGTTTGAGAACTGGCGGGCGTCGGCTCGTCGTCGTCTTCCAACAGGGCTTGGGGAGGTTGCGCCGAGAGGGTTCCCAGGATGCCGTGCGACGCGGGCGATGATGGGACGCGAGGGCAGGGGAGAGTAGCGAGGGGTAGCGAGGCCTGAAGCTGGGGTGAGGAGGGAGGAGGCAAGGATGGGAGCGAGGACGGAGGAGGCTGTGAGGGTTTGGGAGGAAGTGCCGCCGCTCGGTTGCTCGGTCTCGACGGTTGCTGGGGAAGAGCAATGTGGATCGCTGCAACAACACCGAAGGAGAGAGAAGACAACATGAACAACCTGTTGTTGCAACTTTGAGTTTAACCTTTAAAATAAGACAGAAGCAGAGATAAAATAAATGAATGTTTATACAAAGAATAATGATGAATACTCTCTTTAATTCAGATGTGAGGCTGCTTTTATCTCATATACACGATAACGGAATAATCTGACGACGTCATTTTACAAATTTCATGTAAATGTATAATGACGACTATAATAAAGTTAAAGTTTACATTTTTTTAAACTAAACAATCAGTTAACCAGAAACAGTCAACAGATGAATAGACGAGTGATAGTCGTTATATCATAAAGTGAAGAGCGTCACACCTGGAGGAGCTGTGATGGGATGTTGGGTCAGGAACGGGTGCGTCTCGGTGGGCGTGTTTGCGGGTACGGCAGCAGCAGCGACGGTCGGATTGGGCTCGCTGTTCGACCGCGACAGGTGAGGGTTCATGAACTGAGCCAGAGGATCGAATCCAGAGCCCATCAGCTGGGACGAGTCCAGAGCCGGGACAGGGGGAGGTTTGGACTGGACCACCTGAGCCTGAGGCTGAGCCTGAGTCTGAGGTTGAGGAGGGACCGGACCGGCTCCGGTACTGAGCGACAGGTGGTGCAGCCTCTTGGTGTCGCTGATGTCTTTGATAGTCGGGATCTTCTTCTGCAGCTTGGGAACCAGCCCTGGTGTATGACATAGATAATACATATGCTGAAGGACTACAGTCATGAATATCTTGATATTAACGGCTTAAACATCAGGGAAAGTCCCGGACTGACAGAAGACAGAACTTTACTTTACATTCTTTGGGTTTTTTGTCGTAATATAAAAAACAAACTGAAAAGGACGGTGAAGGATGTGAACTCTCATAGCAGCACGTCTGTGAACGCTCTGAGTGACTTTAGGTTCCCTCTCATAAGCACTGATGCAGTGTGTGTGTGTGTGTTCTTTTATTGTGAAAGGGAAGAACAAGCTGAGACGTGTCGCCACTGTCGAGGTGGAACCGATAAAGACTTTTTCCCCGTCTTGGTTTTTAGACGACGGAGCCTCTGTGGTTTTATTTGACTTAATCAGAGCTTTGCAGATGTGACAAGTCACAAACATTCACTGATGAAAACATCCGAGAGAGAAGCTGGTCTGTTCAGCTTCTCTCTCGTCCTATGACCGCTCAAAGCGCTCCAACACTGTATGTCACTCACGGGACACATCGATGAGAAGGACTAACAGAACTACAACAATAAAACGTTCCATTATCCGTTACCATTCTCAGAGTCGTCTTCACTGTCGGAGGAGTCGCTGCTGCCTGAAGACGAGGACCCCGTCTTCATCTTCGTCATGTTTGTCATTTCCAGATTCTTCTCTCCTGCAAACAAATCACAGATTCAGAGACAGACTGCTGTGATACAAGTCTAAACAGCAATGATCTGTGTGCATTGGACAGAGCCCCAGGCTAGCCGGTTCACATCTTTATGCTAAGCTAACCAGCTGCTGGCCGTCGTCTAACGGGAGGATACGAGAGTAATATCACTGATTATCAGGAGAGCTAGTAACGTTAGCAGCACCGCTAACGGCTAACCAACAGGAGGAGAGCTAGTAACGTTAGCAGCACCGCTAACGGATAACCAACAGGAGGAGAGCTAGTAACGTTAGCAGCACCGCTAACGGCTAACCAACAGCAGGAGAGCTAGTAACGTTAGCAGCACCGCTAACGGCTAACCAACGGAGGTTCACTTCAGTTACATGATGATGCCTTCAGGCTCTGCTCAGTGAACATGAGTACTGGCTGAAGGTACATTATAACGTTATCATGATGTGTTCACATGTCATCTGTAAAATGTAGTTTTGGTAATAAACTAGAATAAATCCAGTAGTTTGAAGATGTTTTCACGTTAATATGAGATAGATATTAGAGATGACTTATGATGTTTAACTTCTAACGCGAGCTCTAAACACATTATTATACATCATTAAAGATGAAGATAAAAATACAACCTTTTATTTATTTATTTATCATATCGTGTTTTTTACGAAGAAAGAAACACTGTAAATAACATTTAGTGTTGTTGATGGTTTACTGACTTCAAAGAGTTTAAATATTGTGGATCCTTGTAGACCAGCTGATGTAATGAAACATCAGAGGGATCTGGATCATCAGCGTTCAATAACTAGCATCAGAGATCTACAAGTTCTATTGGCTCTTTAGTTCTAGTGATCTGATCTCTGAGTTTTGTTTGTATAACAAACTGTTCACCCGAGTCATGACCCTGAATGTCTCGTTCAACCAGTAATTAAAGTGAGTGAAGCTTCACATGTCCTTCAGTCTGAAGCTGTGAGACAGGATGAACTCGTCTGTCTGTCAGTCAACATGTCAACAAAACAACAGTAGTGGAGTATACGAGGTACTTCTGTTTTACTACAGTAGATGGAGCGAAGTAATGTACTACTCCAGATTCCGATATCAGCTTAAATCAACGCTACATCAGTTTACACTCTGGTGGTTAACGTTAAACTTTATTTACACTGTGATGGTTAACTGCCCACCTGTACCAACAGCCTACCTGACTTCTTCTTCTTCTTGAGGCAGCTGGACACGTACTTTTCCAGCTCTCTCAGCGTGGACGGCTTCAACGTCTCAAAGTCTATCTCGATCTCGTCCGGGTTGGAGTTCTTCAGCGACGGCTCTCTCGTCTGGATGATGTGCACGACGCGGCCAAGCTTGTCTCCGGGGAGCTTGTTGATGTCCAGGCTCAGCTGGCGCTTCTCTTCGTAGGACATGGGTGTACACCTGTCGGAGGACACGCCCCCAAACACACCTGAGGGGGGAGGAGAGAGGACAGGAGGACACATGAGGTTAGAGGACAGGAGGACAGAGGACAAGAGGATAGAAATAGATATGTTTTACACACACACACGCACACACACACACACACACACTATATAATTATTGTATTATTTGTTTGGATGGACACAAACAAATAATCTTCTCTCATTTACATACCTGGTTCATCTTCTGCCTCCAGAGAGGCCGAGGGGACGAGCGGTGTCGGTCCAGGCTGAGGTTGAACGACCGGTCGACTGTTTTTAACTCCTTCTTTCTTGCTGCGATTGACAAAACGATGAGATTAGCTCCAATCATCAACACAGCTCCATCCATTTCATCTCTTAAATCTCTGCCACCACAACCTACCTGGGCTTCTTCCTGTCCTTCTTCACCACCACGATCGGCTCCTTGCTGCTCTTCATCTTCTTGGTGGCGGTGGTCTGAAGTGTCACAGAGGGAGGAGGAGCCTCCACGGGTTCCTCTACTACCACCGCCATCTTTTTCTTGTGCTTCTCTTTCTTCTTCTCTTTCTCCTTCTTCTCCCTCTCTTTCTCTTTCTCCTTCTTCTTGGGTTTGCAGGCCGGAGGCTGAGAGAGTGCTGCCAGCTGTTCGTGGACAGCTTTAAGCTGGAGGACACAAACAATAACAAACACACACAGCGGTGGTCTTAAGAGACAAAAACAAACAAACAGCATGCTGCACGTTTGCTTGACTCAGCGTTCACCCTGGTTTGGTAAAGCTGCTCTGCGTGGCCCACCCACCTTGTTTGAGTCTCATAAGCCTCCCTCCCCCTTCATTTTCCATCCTCTAACCTGTTCCTGTAACTCAGCCAATCGGTGTTGCCTTTCGTGCTCCGAGTCCGCCCCCGAGGACTCCGATTCGGAGGAGCTGCTGGAGCTGTCGTCTTCCGAGACGGCGGGAGGAGGCGGAGCTTGTCGAGTGGAGGGGGTGGGGGGGTGTTGGGGGGCCGACGATGGGGTAGGAAAAGGGGCGGGCTCCTCAGGCTCGTCGTCGGGCATTTTGGCAAAACGCATCTCGAACACGTCCTGTTGGGATGGAGGACGGCAGGAGAAACGGTGGTGAGCTCCACTTGAACCACAAACATACAGGTACAATAAAAAAAAGAGCATTTTGGAACTGGATGTAAAATGGAACCAGGTAAGAGTGTTTATCCATAAACACCTGAACATCATTGTTTCACAAGGAGTCAATTAAACAAGCTAATAAAAGACAAACCAGGACTCCTTAACCCGGGTATGAACCGAACACCAACTCCTTAACCCGGGTATGAACCGAACACCAACTCCTTAACCCGGGTATGAACCGAACACTAACTCCTTAACCCGGGTATGAACCGAACACTAACTCCTTAACCCGGGTATGAACCGAACACTAACTCCTTAACCCAGGTATGAACTGAACCGGTACTGGTGTATTATTACACCTCTAACATATAGAGCATATGTAGTGGTTTAAAAAGGTAGGGGGGGGGTAAACTGGCTCTGGTTATATAGTGTTTGTTGATTACCTGTAGTTTGCGTGCCATGCCAACCACATCATGGTCTGGGGGATTGTACTTGTAACAGTTGGAGAACATCAACCGGACGTCTGCTGCAAATTCCTGAGCGTCTCTGTATTGCCTGTTGTCAAGCTTTTTCTGGAGGGAGACACCATGATCAACACCAATCCAACTTTTAAAATAAACGAAATGGAGGTAATGGAGTATTACTATATGTTGGGGTCACACACACATCCTGATAGATCACCTTGATGTTGCTGAGATCCATGGGGTGCTTGATGATGTCGTGGTAGTCGTGGAGGCTGAGGGCCTTCACGTTGACAGGTTTGTAGAAGGGCCATGCGTATCCCACGTGTTTCTTGGACAGCATCTCTCTGACGAGGCGAACGCAGTAACGCAGCTGCTCCTGACGCTTCTGCATCACCGTCACCGCCCCCGCCTCCGAACCGCCCCCCAGGTGATGCTGAGAGTCCGGCTGTGACGTGTCCTTTTTGGGCGTCTTGGACGGGCGAATGCTGTCCCGCCGCGGCGGCCGAGTCTCGGCAGAGACGGGGGAGCATTCGCTCAGCTGGTCGTTGGCTGTCGGTGTGGTGGTGTCAGCTTTCCTCTTCTGGCTCTTTCTTTGCTATTGGAAACAGCAGAGATCAGATTAGAAAAACCAGCTTGGTCAGGGATGCCTCCCCCGAAACCCGGTTCTATCGGTACTTCAGAAGTGAGGGAGTGAGACATCGTCGTTCTCTCTCTCTCTCTCTCTCTCTGTGTGTGTCTCTCTTTGTCTCCAGCTCAGTACAGGGTGAGACTCACATCATGATAAGTTTATCACAACATGTGACCAACAAGCAGAACATCAATCCGTTGGTGGAGCAGCCGTCAGGTAACGGTAGTGATGTTGGGAGTTTGATCAGAAAAAGAACCAATAAGAGTATCGATAAAATCTTACCGATACCCAGGCCTACATGTGATCAATGCATTGATCAATAACGGCTGCTTACCTTGATGAGGGCGGGGGGGCTCTGCAGCACCAGGTGTGTCGGGGCCGGAGGGGGGACAGATGTCACGACCTGGGCCAGGACATCCGGTGTTGAGAGGGGGAACGGAGGGCCCAGGTGGGGAACGTGGGAGGGGGGTGTGGGAGGCACTCGTGGGGGGTGGGACAGGGCGGGAGGGCCCTGGGGGGGGGGGGGGGGGGTGCAGCACGGGTCTGGGGGGTGACTGATGGGGAGGAGAAGCCCCGTGTGTGGGGGGTGGTGGAGGGGGACGAGGAGTCCTGGCCCGAGTCTGACTTAGTGATCAGACCTGAAGAGAAGAAGAAACAAAAACATGAAGAGATGACAGAATGTTTAACGAGAGAGACACGAAGGGTGTGACTCCTCCCTCTATCGCCCCGTGTGACGACTCCCTCTATCGCCCCGTGTGACGACTCCCTCTATCGCCCCGTGTGACGACTCCCTCTATCGCCCCGTGTGACGACTCCCCCATCGCAGGACCTCAGGTGGGAGCTTAACATCAGCTCCATCACCAAGAAGGCTCAGCAGAGGATGTACTTCCTGAGGCAGCTGAAGAAGTTCAACCTGCCAAAGACAATGATGGTGCACTTCTACACAGCCATCATTGAGTCCATCCTCTGCTCCTCCATCACAGTCTGGTACGCTGCAGCCACTGCCAAGGACAAGGGCAGACTGCAGCGCATCATTCGCTCTGCTGAGAGGGTGATTGGCTGCAATCTGCCGTCCCTCCAGGACTTGTTCGCTTCAAGGCCTCTATCAGGACCAAGACCTCACACCACATGAACAGTTTCTTCCTGTCTGTAGTCGGGCTCATCAACAAAGACCAGGACCCACTGACTCTGTCACCCCCAGGACAACCTCCTGCCTGTCAGTCCCCTACACATCCCTTCATATTTAAACACAATCAACACTTTTAACATTTCACTTACTGTACATCTCACTTTTTTATAATGCTGTTATCTGTTCGTTTGTGCACTTTATTTTATATTTTACTGTACATTTTAATGTTTCTATTTCTTGCACTGTGTTGATTGTTGTTAGTTTAATGTTATTCGCCGTCATGTCAGATTCCTTGTCTGTGCAACATACCTCGGCATTAAATGGTTCTGATTCTTCTTCTGTTACTCTACATTTGATGTATAAATGTATTGTGAGAACACTGAAGACTACTTTGACTGTGGCTTTACACCACATGAAATACTTCACGTGGATTGTACTGAACACACCTTTTGAAAAGGATTTTAAGTAAGAAGCAGCTCTGGTGGGCTTCAGTAGAAACCAGTGCAGGCGACAGGAGAACCGCGTGGTTCTGTTACAGTTTAACTGACATATTTAGGTCCACATCCTAAACTGGTACCTGGCTCCCGGTGGCCCCCCCGGCGGCCCTTAGTGACCACAGCGATCTCCGTCTCCTCCTGCGGCATCTCTGTGATCTTGTGGAGGAAGACCTTCTCCAGGGCCTCCGCCATCAGGACGATGTCATCGCCGGGCTACACACACACACACAAGTTCAGGAGCTCTGTTCATGAGGTGTGTCACCTGATGGTCACCTAGAGGTCTTGGCTCACCTTGTTGTAGATGTAGCAGTTGGTGAACATGGTGTTGAAGTCCTGGATGCACTCGTATGCATTCCAGTAGTAGTTGTTCTCCAGACGTTTCTTGATGGTGCCCATGTCCATCGGGATCTTGATGATCTTGTAGTAGTCCTTCAGGAGGAGGGTTAGAAACTCATTCATTTTGCCGGCTGGAAGCAGCTAAATACCTCTTAGTCGTGTCGAGACATAATACGTTCATGTTTATATATTCACAATTGTTTAGGGAAAATATATTTTGTGTGTTTATTTAATCAAATTTGATAAAACATATGAGAAAGATTGTTTTTGCATTCATGACACAATGTCCATACTTGTGGTTTATTTCTGTATAAAACGTCTCAGCTGAGGTTGTAGAGATGTGAAGACACCATGTAGCTCAAAGGGTTCAGAGCATCACACTAACATTCTTCCTCCAAACAACAACACACCGCAGGAGAAGCTAGTGTGATGCTAACAGCTAATAGCAGCTAACAGCTAATAACAGCTAACAGGAACAGACTGAATGCACACTTCCAGGAAGTTTCTTCTTTCGGTTTTGACCACAGAAGAACTCCTGTCCTCTCTCTCCTCCTGTCCTCTACGTCCTCTACCATCCTTAAACACAAACAGGTGACTCACAGGTAAACCGAGCTTGATGGCGTCTACGGGAGACTGGAAGGGCCACGCAAAGTGGTGTTTCCGCAACGTCTTCAGCACCTCTTTGAGGAGGAACTAAAGAATAAAAACAGAACTCTATGAAACTCAAACTCCAAACAGAGTTTACACACAATGTGAAGACACAAGCAGAGATGTGGTACCTGCAGCTGGTTGGTCTGTCGTTTGGGTCTGGAGGGGTTCCATATTTCGGGGGGCGGGACGTTGAAGGCCAGCGGCGGGGGGGCAGAGGGGAGGAGCTTCTGGCTGCTGCTGGAGGCCTCCAGTCCGTCTCCCATCACTGAGGAAGGTTGTAGAGACTGAGTGGACAGTTTGAGTGGATAGGACATGGTGGGGGGGGCCCCCCTCAGGCCATTACAGTCCTCACTCGACTCTCTGTGGGGGGGGGGGGAGAACAGCATTAACACCACTGTCACCAATACACAGTTTAACGTTAACCATCAGAGTGTAAATAAAGTTTTAACGTTAACCATCAGAGTGTAAATAAAGTTGTACTGACTCAGTAGAACATGTGTTTCTAGTCTCTGATCATGTTTCATTGTAAACAACCAATCAGTGTTTAAAGCAACAGGAGGAGAGCTAGTAACGTTAGCACCACCGCTAACCAACAGGAGGAGAGCTAGTAACGTTAGCAGCACCGCTAACGGCTAACCAACAGGAGGAGAGCTAGTAACGTTAGCAGCACCGCTAACGGATAACCAACAGGAGGAGAGCTAGTAACGTTAGCAGCACCGCTAACGGCTAACCAACAGGAGGAGCGCTAGTAACGTTAGCAGCACCGCTAACGACTAACCAATGAGGTTCACTTCAGTTACATGATGATGCCTTCAGGCTCTGCTCAGTGAACGTGAGTACTGGCTGAAGGTACATTATAACGTTATCGTGATGTGTTCAGATGTCATCTGTAAAATGTAGTTTTGGTGATGAACTTGAATAAATCCAGTAGTTTGAAGGAGATGTTTTCACTTTAATATAAAATAGATATTAGAGATGGCTTATGAGCTGTTTACCTTCTAACACGAGCTCTAAGCACATTATTATACATCATTAAAAATTGGTTCACTTTGACTCACATGTTTGTTGCTATGCAGCTGTGATCTAATCCAGATGTGTGATCATGTTCTCAGGTAGAAGAACGGGCGTCACACCTGAGAGAGACAAGAGAGAGGTGAGGTCATCAGAGAGTTTGTTGTTCAGAACCTGTTCGATGTCACCTACACCTCCTGTTCTTTTTATTTGTAACCAGTTCATTTGTCGCCATCTTTTTTTTTTTCTTCTCACAACCAGTGAACAGGAAGTGACCATATCTGAACAAAGGAGGAGTGACGTAGAGACCTGTCAATCACCGTGTAGCCCCGCCCTAAGGCATCCCCTGCTTTATGGTCTGTTTGACTCTAAATGGACCATAATGTACTAAATGAACATCATGCTGTGTTGAAGAAGACTTGAAACTAGAGATTCAGACCATAAACTCATCAAACTGTATCTTGTCAGATGAAGATAGAAGTGTAAAAGTGAACCACATCACTGGATGTGGTTCTGCGTAGCACAGCAGTGCTAACACTAGCTAATGCTGAGCTACAATGTGCTAAGCTAATGTTTAGCTCCACGGTAAACGTAGTGTCACTATTTTTACCATGACGAGCTCCAAACCCACTAAAACCAGCCTGAACATGAAGAAGAGAACAGCGGCCATGTTGGTTGTTTACTTTCACTGTGATCATTTTAGGGGGCGTGTCTTGGAGGCCTGAAGGGGCGGACTCTCTCTCTAGTGAGAGACTTTTGGAGCTAATGATGCTTTAGTTGGAGAAGAGGAAGGTAAACAGCTCATAATTCATCTCTAATATGTGTTTTATATTCATGTGAAAACATGTCCTTCAAACTACTGGATTTATTCAAGTTCATCACCAAAACTACATTTTACAGATTATCTGTACTACGTCTCAGAGGTACATAATGTACTTTTTACTTCATTTAGCTGATACTACTCCACCTTACATACTTATACGCCAGTAAAGTATCTGAATACTTCTTCAACCACCGACTGTCGTAAAGGATTTAAAAACACCGTGATAATCTCAACACTAACGTTATCACGTAGCTCCAGGTAACGTAAACCGACTACACATTAACGAGGCCGAGTGTCGTAAATAACGTCACTTTTTAAATCAACAACAGTGAACACGAAGAGATCCTTTTAAATAAACAAACAACTTCTCTTCCTCTTCTAACCTTCCGTGTCAGTACGCCGCCATGTTCCAATTGACAGCTCGAGATTCTCGAACGTATATACGTACATACGTCACGCTTCACTGGGGAGCTCCTGCGCCTTCGCACGTAAACTACGCAGCCGAGAGGACGTAAACTTGCGTCGCGAATCCGGCCCTACGGTGCTACAAACAAACAGCCTTAGCTAGCTGGGTTAGCGTGATAGCGGCTAAGCGTGCACACTTTGACAGCGCACGCAGGAGCGTCCACTTTTTGCGCCACGAGCACGAGACCGTCATAACGCGGGTACAAAGACGACGGAAGACAAGACACAAGAGTAAGCGCGGAAATAACACCAAATCCCGCCATTTTAAAAGACAAAAAACAACGGGTATATCTAGTGCGTCCTAGCCGGTGCGCGAGGCCTGCGGGGACACTGACAGCGCGCGAAATACGCCCCCCACCACCTTACCGACGGCCGCTGTGGACGTTTTTACCGGACTTTCCGCCGGTGAACAGTGTCTGCTCGAGGAAAACCAACGTGCTCCGTAGAGAGGATTAACATCACACGTTTTACCTTCTTCGGTCGGTTGTTTAGCGGCTACGCAGACCTTCCTCGCCCCACAATCCAGAACAAACAGTCGCGTTCGACGTTGGGCGGTGACGTCAGACGCACGGACGCAAGGTTGTCAGCCGAAGTGACGTCACCGCCCCCTCCCTTCTCCTCTCGGGTAAAATCACGCAATATGTCGTCATGATTTCAGTGATGTTGGTGTTTATCATTAAAAATACGTCTGATGACGTAATAGGCCAATATTTTATATATGTAAATACTATGTTCTTTACATTAGATTAGAAATAAAAGAAAGTTGAGGTAAAAGTCCAGACCTTTTACATTTATAATCGAAAAATAATAAATAAATAAAAATGAGTAAAATGTTTACATTTTCTGTAAAAGTCTGAGTTAAGGTCAACTTCTTTTCTTCATTATTTAATATACTTGAAAACAATGAAACATGCTTAGACTTCATATTCATTATTAATTAAACATTGTTGTCTAATAACAGAAAGTAGACTTTAGTCAGAGATGGTTAAAATAATTCTAAACGCAAAATTAATACATTTAAAAAGAGGATTAGAATCAATTTATATTTAAAATATAACTAAACAGCAACACTGGCGACAGTGTGGACCAATCAGATCGGCTGTGGTCGGGGCCTTTAGTTTAGACATTTAATACGTTATTCTGATAAAAAGTCTACATAGCAACTTACATATATATATATATATATATGTATGTGTATATATACATATGTATGTGTATATATATATTTGTATGTGTATATATATATATGTATGTGTGTATATATATATGTGTGTATATATATATATATGTGTGTGTGTATATATATATATGTGTGTGTGTATATATATATATGT